ATAAACAAAAACTTAATACAATATCAGCTCAAAAAATATTTACATTAGTAAGCAAAATTCCAACAAATAACATGAAATTAGCAATTGTTGTTGCAACCAAAGAACACATTTTGTAAACTTACATTTGAAAAAAAAAAATTTAAATCCAAAAATGAAACTTGTTAATAAAAACACGAGTGCTAGAGTAACTTAGTTTTCACAGATTTTTATTGTTTTAAATGATTTTTATTTTATTTTATTTTTTCAAATATCTGTTTTTCACGAGTTTTGCAAATTGGAATCTTTTCAACTAACTTTTCCCACATCACATTCTGGAAGTAGAAACAACATTTTAAAGAGCGAGAATCTGTTTTGGGTTTGAAGTGAAGAGAATATGATCTGTAAAATGCAATTTCAAAGGAATGCAATTCGTAAAAAAAATCCAATCTGAATAAGAGAAATTATATAAAATAACATATAAAAACATAAAAATTGGAAAAATACATATGGAAAACATAAAATATGAAAAATAACATTTGAGAAAACAGAGTTCGAAAATATCCAAGATTACTAAAAATATTTCTAGATTGAATTTTTTTTCAAATTTTCATTTACAAAACAGGTTCAATAATGGAACAAATTACACTCAATATAATTATATGAATAGGAAAATACTTTCACAACCATATACATGATATTTTATTGAACAAAGTAAAAGTTAGAGTCATCAATAGCAACAGTTTGCTAGAAGTTATTAGAGTAGATTTTATTTAACAAATAATAAGATGCACCTTGTCTCTGAATGCATGCACACATGCTGTCAGTTGCTGTTCATTATTATTCAGACAGTACTCTATTCTTTGCTGGTGTCTTTTCTTTTTCACCTAAGAAAATAGACTTTTTTAGTGAAGTATGTCATTTATTATTAACCAAACTGTCTTTCCTTCCTCTCTGAGATGTGATTTTCTCCTTTGCTGTGCACTTTATATTCTAGGATTGTTTTTCTTTCATCTTATTCATTCCTTTATGTAACAAAGGGAGTTCTACTGTATTCTAATAGATTTTAAAACCAAGCAGGAAATTATTCTGATGCACAAGAAGCAAAGTTCTAGCACAGGACAGCAGCCTGACAACAGAAACAAACTAGCTGAATACAGAATGTGATCATTTAAATTTTATACATCATATTTTTGCAAAACAGCAGACTGCAAAAATGTTCTCATTTGCTTCGGCTCCTGTTGGCTGGCTGTCATCACCATCCTGTGAGCGGATCTAATGAGAGCCTATCTGGAGCTGTGCAAAACAAAAACTTAATCTAAGAGTTGGCCAGAAGAGCACATTTTTTTATCGTTGGCTATTCTACCACAATCCATTTATCATATGTAGTGTCATGTTGCAAAACTGTCTAAGAGTTCAACAGGAACTGCGTGATGAGTGAAAGAAAACAGCCATATACAAGCATTGCAGTTGGATTTAGGCTTTAGAGACTGATTTCCTGCAAACATCTCCTCTATAGATCNTGCGTGATGAGTGAAAGAAAACAGCCATATACAAGCATTGCAGTTGGATTTAGGCTTTAGAGACTGATTTCCTGCAAACATCTCCTCTATAGATCCTTTAGACCCCAATAAACCTCTGATTGCTTAATAAAAGCCTCTTCTGCACATGCATGTTTCACTTATTCTCATATTTGTATTTTCTTTATGTAGTTCAGTTGGATTCTTTGGCAGTGAATTCATGATAAGGGTACTTGCATTTAAAAAAGTGCTTAATGCAGGAATTCTATTTTCTGCTTTGACACAGTGATGTCAAACAAAGGCGCTAAAAAGGACATGCAGTTTTTTTTTGTTTGGTTTTTTTCGATTGTTGTTTTTTGCGTGTTGTGGGGATCTACAAGGATTGGTCAAGCACAAATTTTAGGACATGCTGTTTGGTTTCACCACACTAAAATGAAGAGATCACTTCGGTTCTACGCCATGTAGTTGGAGGCAATAATGATCATGATTATTTTTCAGATAATGTCTATAATTCCAAGTATTATGGTTCACTTCACATTGGTAGCCTATCAATTTGCTAAAGGAAAAAAATTTAAATAATAACTACAATTGAAGTGAAATAGGAAAAACAAAACACAAGACATGAAAAAAGTGTGTTTTTCGATTATGACAAAGACTCAATTTTTTATTTTATTTCATACTGTATAAATATGTTTAAATGCCCACAGAATCTCTGCTCCATCATCTTTTATTGTTACTATACTTCCTTTGTAGCAACGATGAACACAGAAATGTTTGGAGGTGAGTTTACACCCCATTTAAAAAAAAACAACAACAAAAAAACTGAGGTCATAGTTTTGTTTCTGGAGAAATGCTTTGCATGTAGTAAATGTTAACATTGGCATATCCTCCACCCATAGAGTTTTGCAGTTTGATCAATATTGTATGATCTCTGCCTGCTGAATTACATAAACCACTTCACGCCTTTTTTGAAGGTTTGCTGTATTTGCACCTTTTTTTTTTTATTAAGAAGCACAAACCTTTTGAAGATCAGACCCCTTTGTGTGAATATTTTCACTATGAGCACTATGTTAACATAATCTAAAGCAGATCTATAGAAATACAAAAGTTTTCCTCCTAGTTGCCCAACCACCAATTGTTACATGGGGTTAACCATCTGTGCTATTCATGAGAAGTGATAGAAAAAGCAGCCTTTTTTTTTTTTTGCAATATTCATTCACAATCTAAGGTGTTTTAAAATTGTGTTTTTCTGCTCATTCTCATCTAAAAATATCCCCAATAATTAAATCCAGTACCACCAACAAAAAACACCTAAGTTGGAAACGAAACCCCTGCTGTGTTTAATGATGTGAAGAGGTTTATGATAAAAATCAGAGGTCCTGTAACTCTGGAGGAGCTGCATAAATCTGTAACTCAGGTNTAGCCCTCTGGATCTGGTCCCAGATCATTGTGGAGTGCTCCACACATCCTGGGAACCCTGGCACCCCTGCCTTCTGACAGTTGGTGTCGATGTATTTGTTCTGGAGCAGGTAGGTCGTCATCCTTCTGGCTAGCACCGAGAAAAAGACCTTTCCCTCTACAATCTAAGGTGTTATAAAACTGTTTTTTTTTGCTCATTCTCATCTAAAAATAACCCCAATAATTAAATACATTACCACCAACAAAAAACACCTACCGGTAAGTTGGAAACAAAACCCCTGCTGTGTTTAATGATGTGAAGAGGTTTATGATAAAAATCAGAGGTCCTGTAACTCTGGAGGAGCTGCATAAATCTGTAACTCAGGTGGGAGAATTAGACGACATGACATATATTAGCCGTGCCCTCTCTAACCCTGGGCTTTATGGAGCAGCAGAGGTGAGTAGTAGCTAGATTTGTTTATTCAGTTACGTTAACTTTGATAATTAAAAAAAAAAAAAATGTTCTTTAAATTTCAGTTGTACAGAGTAGATTTTGAACATAAAAACATAATTATAAGCAACTATCCTTCTCATTGTTGTACTTTTATATAACTGTTCAACCTCCAGCCACTAGGTGTCAGTGCTGCACCCATGGCCCTATTATTCAGCTTGTGTGATACCAGCCACAGCAGTGGAGCAATATCAAGATCTCATGAGGTTTTGCAGAGCTATGCTATTAAAAAAAAAACTAAAAAAAACAATATATCATCTTTGTGACTTATCAAGATAAATCTGGATAAATCATGTCATGATCAATTTATCGTGATACATATTGGATCATGAAACTTTGCCAATTCACACCCCTGAAAATGAGTATTTTCTTTTATACAACCTTTTTGTTGTTTAAAGTCATGTTAATCTGCTGAGATGTCTATAACATGGAGGTCATGGTGATATGCAGCATACAGTATGTTGTCACTAGAGGTTGCACTTTTCCAGCGTGCAAACTATATAAACCTTCCCTTAGCAAAAAGTAGTTTATTCAAGTATACTAAAAGTGCACTAATTTCATACTTAAAATCAGGCAATGCACTTAGACTTTACTTATTCTAAACTATATTTCATATATAACAATAATATGGTCAAGTGTACTTGACTATACTATTGTTCACTTTATTGTTTACTAAAGTATATTTTAAGTATACTTTAGTAAACTTAAAAATGTCCCAATTTAGTTCAAAGAAGTATTACTTTAGTAATACATCTAGTACACTAAAAGTACATTGTTCTGGTATACTTTCTAAACTTATACTTATACTTAAGTATTCTTAATAGAATTTACTTTAAGTATACTACTTTTTGCAAAAGGTTAAGAAATGGTTTTATATTGTTACACGTTAAAAAGAAGCATTTTGAGAAGATTATTTTCTTCTTGCCAATATCTTTTTATTTGTATTCATTACTTTTTTTAAGTCTTAAAAACAAAAGAAATTTGCACAAAGCTTTATATTACGGTTAATCTGATTTACATCATTTTAAATAGTAAAACGGTTGCAAAATACACGACTACACATGTTAATGAGTACCTTTTTACTCTTACTTGAGTATTTTATTGGATGGCTACTTTTTACTTCTATTCGGGTAGAAATATGTTGAAGTAGTGCTACTTTTACTTAAGTACACATTTTTGTACCCTACCCAGCTACGTGAAGGAGTAGAAAGAAGGAAACCATTGATCAAAGCTGCTCAGGTCAGAAAAGACCACACATTTTGGCTTTCATAGAACACCATGTGTGTCTAAGATTTAAAAAAAAAAGCGATGGACACTCTAAGGCATTTGGGGGGACATCATCATTCTGTCGGGATTTTTGTCTTTTGCAGAGATAAGTTGGACAAAGTTGAGAGTTAAAATGGAGCTCCAAAATCCTGGAAGAGAACTGATGAAAAACACAGAAAATGTTCCAGCCACCTGACGAATACAGCCAGAACCACAAGGTAATAGGGCCAATCAAAGCATGTTATTGTCTTCAAATGGTTTCCTTAAAGTCCAGATTAAATGCTGGTGAGAATCTCTCACAGGGCTCAAAAGTTTTAACCAATCCAACTGTTATTCTTCACACATCAGTCTATAGACGTGCAAAGATAGAGGAGATAAAGAAATGTGGTTCTACAAACTATCTACTCAGCAAGGGTGAACATTTGAGATTTTATGCATGAAAAATGATTTTAAAACCATGTTGTATTTTCCTCCCACTTTACAGTGATGCACTGGTTTGTGTTGCTCTATCAGATGAAATCTACGGTAAACAAAGTCCCAATCCACAATTGTCAGGTGGAAACGTGAAAACGTTTGACTTCCAAGGTGCTGAATGAACAAAGAGCTTTGCTGCTTGACTTCGGCTCGGTTTTGCAAAATCAGCAACCCCCCCAAGGTTCACCCAGCTTGTCTTCACGTCACACTGATTTTCTCCTCTTGCCAAAGACATTGTTGATGAGTTTGGCCATGGACTTGGAGCCGCTGTAGCGCCGCCGGTCGGCTCGGTACTTGAGGTGCTCCATCACCTGCCGGATGAGCTGGGTGAAGAGGTTGGCGATGTCCTGGTAGCTCTCGGCCGCTGACACCTCCTGGAAGTTACAGCGGTTCTCATGCGCCAGGCTGCGGGCTTCCTCCTCTCGTACCTGGCGTGCATGGCAAAGGTCCTGCTTGTTACCCACCAGACATACGGGAACGTCCGTGTCCCTGAAACAGTTAGATTAAACAGATAATGGAATGTTATTGCATCCTGCAATTTGACACATAGTTTTTTTTTTTGTTTCATTTATCAACCGCATTTTAAAAGCCTGAACCCAAAACTTGTGACTTCTGAGTGTGAGGCATTTGTTTTTTTCCATTTTCACAAGTATACAGACACAATATCCAGATCCTGTCCTTATTTTTATCATGAGTTAATGATCTCCTCCTACGCTCCCTTTGCATCTCGCTATGCCTCTGTATGGGGCCAGGCTGCCTGACAATTGCAAGCGGCATGTTTTTCTGCACATGCCTGTAGGATTGCAGGAAACCCCTTGTTCGTCATCATGAATCATTAATCAGGACGCACCAGGCTCTTTGGAGACATTCCACAAACCCAGACCTGTACAAAGACTCCTGTTTATCCTCAAAGACACGACTGAAGCTTTATCTTCATCCTTTCTTCCTGCTCTATTCTTAAGATGTCTTGGTACAGTGGATGTAAACAAATCCAACCATTTCCTATCTACCCTTGTATGAATATTCTCTCAGTAGTATGGAAGATGTTTTAGGGGTTGTCAGATACATTCCTCTTGGAATGACTGGCAGCAGGATTTCTGATGGCCACATTTCCCACAAATCTTTTTTAGACAAGAACATGAACACACACTTTAAAACAATTGCATCATACCAAGCATGTAGGTGGACGATTGCTGATTGGGGCTGTCTATTAAGAATTTGGAAACATTTTAGTCAAACCATATTAACATAACAGAGAGATTAGCACAATTTAAAGGGATCTAATAATGTGTCTATGGGGTGAATCATGTTCCTTTAGTGTTGCAAGCAAAGCAACGCTTCAGTAAATGGAAATAAAAAACAACACATTTTTTTAAACTGAAAGGAGAAAAATATTGCATCCAAAAGTGAAACTCATTTTAATTAAAAAAAAAAAAGTTTGCTGTTTAAGATTTTATTTCTGAATTTTTCTTTCAAATTAATATCTAATATTTCATTTTCCAATTTTTTAATTGTTATTTTTCAGGTTATTGTTTTCAAAGTAGGCTGGCTGTTTTTAACGCTCAATATGTGTTCACACTTTAATTACCTTAACTGCAGAGTGAAGGACACACTACTAACTACGTACTACCAGGTCAACACTGAAAATAAATGTCATAATATAGAACAAGATATCAAAGTTAAGCCCTGAGCTCTATATGCACAAGGAAATTTAAGCTGATGTTGACAACTCAAAATGATGAGATAATGTAAGTTTCAAAAACAGTTAAAGGCTGAACTGAATTATTAGATATAGTTATAAATTGCACCTTAACAATGCATGACATCAGTTCATTTTTATTTGTGATTTTCTGTTCTTTATGCCAGTATGCATAGTTATGTTGCCTCTGACCCTTTGCTGTTGTCTGAGCGAGTCTCCCGGATCTGCCGCAGGATGCTTTTGGCGTTGATGAAGGAAGTGCGGTCGCTGATGTTGTAAACTACCACGAAGCCGTCTGCCCACTCTACTGGCTCCTCCAGTATACACCTGGCCTCAGAGCCCTGCCAAAAGGAGAAATGTGCTTTTATTTTGAAATCTCTCTGAGTATTTGCTCCATTTTTCTGCTGGCTTATTTGCTTTAGAAGAATGAAAACATCTTTTCTTCAATGTTCTAGGCTGCCAAATTAATGCACCACATGTGAATCACATGGAAAACTGCATTTATACATGTGGATGTAGACCATTTTATGTTAAAAGCACACCTGAGTCAAATGTGAAAACATAAATCATTTCACATGTTTTTGACATGTTTCTATGTGCAATAGAAGTGCTTCACTTGTGACCTGCATGTGCTCTCAATGGAAATCACATCTGTTAACATGTGTGCGAAATTGGTTTCGAATGTTTTCAATGTGAATCACATTTGCTTTTAACATGAAACATCCCAAATCCAAACAAATTTATGTGCTCTTACATATGATTCACATGTGGATTACATGTTCATTTCATGTGTAGTCCATAGGTTTCACATTTGGTATTGACATGTGCCACATACATGTGATTTACATATAAAAATCTGAATCATATGTAATATATGTATATGTCACATGTTAACTGTATGGATTTTACATGTGATTTTCACATTTGAAATTTATTTTATTTTTTGCATGACAATAAACAAATATTTAGACATGTACAGATGGAAAGGAGGGTTTTAAAAAGAGCATGATCTTATGATATTAACATGGGGAATGTGCTGCACATGTGAGAAATACAGTATCACAGTGCCACATGTGATCAAGTTAAATGGAACATGAAATAAATGGACAAAATGTAACCCATATGTGGAAGATGAGAATCACAAGCAAGGGTCATGGGACTTTAAAAGAAGGTATTTTTTGAAAATGACTGATACTCCTGCATGTTTAGTTATTAATAACTCAGCTTCTTGAAGTGTGCTATGCAGTTTTTTTATTGCTGAATGTTTCCTATGGGGGCCTTGTACAAAAAATTCAGTTTACTTGACAGATTCCATATTTGGACATGTTACAACGACAACGTTCAGAATAGGTGGATAAATGGAAGGAAGATTATTAAAAACTCAGTATCAGAGACTTTTGGTTTCGAACCTTCGAAAAGGTTTTCGAAGACCAAAAAGAGAGAATGCAAACATACTCCACACTTTTCAAATAGGATTCTGTGAAAACTATACATAAAATACAATAAAAATAATTTAGATGTTTTTAAATGGCTCTCTGCATAAGCTGCTATCTTTTTTTTACTTAACTTGAACATTGCATTTTTTTCCATGAGTATTGCACAATATTTTCTTTCATTTGATTATTTTCTGCTTCAAAGCTTAACTTTTAAATAGTTTTTCTTTCAGGTTACTAAATCTATTCCGGTTTTTCCTAGCTGCATGTTTTCACCATGGTCACACCCAAATCTCCTCACTGTGGAGCAACTAAGGTTTTCTTTTTCCCTTTTTCCTCTGTTGTTAAAACAAATAGAGTGCAGAAATTCAAGCTGAAGAAGGCTTTACTGCCTTGGAGTGCATTTTGTTCCATTATTGCTGCAAGAAAAAACATGTTTTGTGGAAATGGAAGTTTAAAAAAAAAAAATCGAAAATGAAACCTTGAAGAACTTTTTCAGATTGAGTTTTATGAATTGCACTATTTTTAAATTGCATTCTAAGGCTGAATCCCAAACTGGCCCCTAAGAACCAATCATAAGCAGTAAACCTCTGTTTGTACGTTCCCACGGAGGGTCCACCACATGAAGGTCTATCCCATAACTAGTAGTGAGTAGGGCGAGTGGACCCTTCAGCCCTTAGATAACTAGTCTGCGTAGTAATGGCAAAGGAAAAATGTGCATTCAAATGTAAGTTCCGCTGGTTTGTTGCATCTTCATCACACTGACAGAAAATCACCAGTTAGGAAAATTAATCCAAAAATGGAAGGTCCTCTCTGAAATAGTTTAATATGATTGGAGAGATTTATTTTCAAGAAAATGGCATATGTTTTATTTCATTACGCCCTGCGCCACAGAACTACATCCACGCAGATGGGACATCACTGTGTTGCCATAGAAACAACTGCTTCCCTTTCCCTTGGAGGGAAGAGGGCTTACCATACCCCCCATGTACAATCCAGGCGCCTTCCACAGCTGTGAGTGGGTCTTTATTATGAAGGACACTTGATAGTTAAGGGTCAGTGGTTAGAGGTCGAGTTCGGATTCAGGCTAAAGATCACACTATTCACTTCAAGCCCAATGCAACACTCCCTCTTGACCAATAGAAATGTTGATGCTAATGTCCATATGGACCAATCAGAATGCATCTTCACTCCTGACTGCAGAGGGAAACCTGCCTTTAGAAGGCACCTGGATTACAGGTGGTGGGGTATAAACAAGAATGGGAAGCCCTCTTTCTTCCAAGGGAAAGAGAAAGCAGCTGTTCCTATGGTAACATAGTGATGCCCCAATGTGCCTGGCTGTAGCTCTGTGGCGCAGGGTGTAATAAAATATAACATTTGCCTCTTTCTTATACCTAATCTGTGATTTTTTTGTCGGTGTCAGTGCACTAATGCAGACTCACTATTTAAGGGCTGAACGTCCCTCTGGCCCTACCCACTATGGGGTTTAAGATGGCCCTTAATGTGGAGGACACTTCACGGGAACGCGCAAACAGAGGGTTAGTGTTTAGGAGACGGTTTGGGATTGGGCCCACGAAACACAGTGTGAATTCAATGCAACACATAAACACCGTCTGAAAAAAAACAAAAACATTAAAACTGATCAAATCTGTTAAACATAGTTTGAAAAATGAAATCTGAGCGAAGAATACGGTTTATAATTATTTGAAAACATAGTCTGATAAAACAGCAAATTTAACTCTTGAAACCTTTTCTTAAATTAAGAAGTGCTTCATTTCTGGATTGCAGTTTTTTCTGATTACAAAACATATTCTTTGCAGGAAAAATGTAACAAATTCGCTCCATCTGGTGCAATCTTTTTGAGTAGAAAGTTGAAAAGAAATGAAGACAGGTAAAGTTAGTTATTCAAAGTTAGTTTTAACAGTTCCAGTCATGTATGTAGGCTTAGTTTGTTGTGTTTTGAAATATAAGAGGGAAAAAAAAGACATGGGGCATGTCTGACTTTAAATACAGGCTCTGAACCCCTTCACTTTATCATCCACATAGTTTTATTGTACAGCTCAGGTCAGACAGTCAACATGTGGACTTATTGCTCCTTATCGGAGGGTGGTGTTATAATGTGTCTAGCTAGCAGGGACAGTAACTGGCTCTTGCTGTGCTGAGCCTCAGGGTATTCCAGTAAAATGCTAACTGGTGTAGAAAGGTGTTTCAGTTCTTTTGTTCCATGGAAAGAGAAAATAAGCTGCTCAAATGCCTTCTTCTCTTCCAAGAAACAGCCTCCAACATAAATCGCCTCCGGACACTCTCATAAACCCTCTGGATCTTCAGCTTAAATGCAGCAGAAAAAGAACACGTGCCAGGAAATATATGATCTTGCTCACTAAAGGTCGATTCCCCTGCAGACCGAGAGTCTGCTTAACTATTGTTGTTAACTTCAGCTCTCTCTTTCAATAATGACATAAGAAAACAAAACTAAATGAGTGTAAGCAGGATTATTTATATTCCTTGACTTTTTGTTCCACATTTTAACCTTTAGCATGTTTTCTTTTTTTATCAACTCTGAGCAGCTCCCCTATCCCTGCTAAAGAAAAGCCTCACCTCATTACTTTCAGGCACAACTATTTTTCATCTGGAGAAATATTGTTGAGAAGAGTCAGTTTTCTGCTAAATATACAATCTTCTTATAAACAGCATATAAAAGTTGTGTGACTTCTTTCAAATCAGATTAAGGAATACACAATTAAAAGTTTTCCTGTTAACAAGCTCCAACTTGAGCTATGAATCTTTGCAGCTTTTCCAAAGACACTCCTGTTTGCTTCTCTGATTGATGCTCTTCTCACCCTTTGTTTCAGTGGCTGGCAGTGGTTTGCTGTTTGTGTCATATGCCTTCCAATGTCAAACAATGAACTGCACAATGGAGTGAATTTTGTACCATTATTGTTGCAAGTAAAGAAAACATTTTGTTGATGGGAATTAGAAAAAGTGCGGGCACAAATGAAGCATTGAAATCACAAATCACATTCTCTTCACTTGTTTGTCAGGTTTTCCACTGGAGTCTGCAGTGAAGACACATTTCTGTTGGTCTGCTGGATGTTAGCAGCAACATTTTTATTGGTCAATGTGCATGTCAAGAGCGAGCATTTGTTTTGGGCTTAATGCGATAAGAATTTGATCTGTAAAAAACTATTTGAAAAGAATGCAATCTGTAAAGCTAGGTTTGAAAAATAGGAATTGGAAAAAAACATCTCATTTGAAAATGTACAATATGTAAAAAAAAAAAAAAAAAAAAAAAAGTCTAAAAAAAAGTCTAAAAAAAACACTTTTAAAGAAAAGGAGAAATAATGTAAAGCAAACTACTGAGGTAAAACCACTAGAGATTTGTCTTTGATCATTTCACATCATTGTAGTACTTTATATTGGCCTATCACACTAAAACTTTATTAAATATATTGTGGTAAGTTTCTCATTGGAATATGAACATATTTAAAATATCTATATATTTTTATCATCAGTCAAGGGTCTAAAAATGTACAGATGAACTCCTACTGCAGCAGAACTGGAGAAATATGACAAAATGTTTAACATTCAATATATACTCTTATAAACTCTTATTTAAGATATTTATAAATAGAATTTAACAAGTCATAACTGAATTATAGATATCTGTTCTAGATATTGGACAAGTCAGAATGATAATGATGATAGGATGTCTTCAATAAAAAATCATACTAGTCATAATGATATTACTAATAGTCAAAATAATGTTATAGATATCTATAATGGTTGTTCCGGATAGTTAGACATACTGATAAAATGTTAAAATGACTTGCCATTTCCTTAAATATCTTACCCTCTTCCTTTTTGTAGGGTGATCAAATGTCTGGTTTTAATATTTTCTAGACCTTGTAGCTAGTAACAGTGAAAAAAATGATGGCAAGAGTGACACATCAAAAATTAGGTTTAGGGATGAAACCTTGGTAATTAGGGTTAGTGCATAGCAGATTGGTAAGGAGAATCCACAATAGCACCTCGAGTCACAATATATGTTGGGTCACATCGGACATTTAACCACCTGCTAGGAAAGGTGATTATATCTCATATGAAGTTTAATTTTGAAAGGTAAGAGCATGGGGGCCATAGCTTAAGTCCACCAGACATGCACCATGAAGCGAGCACTATGAGAAGGGATGTATCCAGGCTGCAGCCATACTTGTTTCTTAAGGTTTGGGTAACATTGTTACTCTCATGCATCTAAGATTATCAACGAAGAATGAATAAACCAGGGAAGGGGGGATTGGTAGTCTGGATTCAGGCCACATTTTGGCAGTTCTGCATCAGGGGGTCTAAAAAGAACAGTCTTTACTTTGAGTATATCTAGTAATAGATGGAAATAAAAGAACTCAAAACAGAAACCTAAAAAACATGTGCAGAGACTTTTCGTCTCCCTCAAAACTATAAAGTGATGCAAACTATACCTGAGAGCAGGGGTCGAACACTTCCAGATTCAACTGCCGACCGTCGATTGATAGCCTCTTATGGTACAAGGAGTCTGTCAGTGAGATGAAAAGGCAATATTGATTGACTTTCAGTAATTACAATTTTATTCTATTGGATTCATATATTTAATGTTTTTGAGAGACTATAAATAAAACTATTATAGTTATCATGTTTGCAACAGACAGTTAGTCTTTCCCCTTTGACAAATGGTATCCTCATTTCATCATTGTTCCCTTACTTTTTTGCTTTTAATTTGCACTAAACCATCTAGTTCATGCAGTGGTATGCACAAGGTTTGGCAGGTGGGGCGGTCGACTAGAGGATTTAGGTTAGGTTAGGTTCCTACCCCCACAACCCTTCTTCAATAACAGATAAATAGATTATTTTTGAGATTTTAGATTTTAACCCCCTGGCTGACCATTCAGGGTATACCCCGCCTCTTGCCCACAGCTCCCAGTCACCCCATTAGGGAACAACTTTACTCTACATTCATTCATTCATTCATTCATTCATTCACCCATTCGCACACACACTGATGATTGTAAACTTCATTGTAGCCACGGCTGCCCTGGGGCTCACTGACAGAAGGCTGCCGTACGCTGGCCCCACCAGGCCCTCTGACCACCATCAGTAGGCAATGTGGGTGAAGTGTCTTGCACAACGACACTGAAAGCTTAAACCGGCAATCCTTCGTTTTTATTGCAAACTCCTACATCCAATGCCACTGTCGCCACACTGTCGTCCTTATTTTAAAATGGGTTTAAACACTTACATAACATTATTGTTTATCTGTTTCCTAATATGCACATTACATCTGATCGCAAAAATATGACCAAAAGAGTCTTTTAAATATGTTTGCTAGCTACTAACTCCAGTGGCCTATGTAATCAAACCAGGTTATAGAAGTGAAGGGGAACATTAATAGAATTGACAAATCATTTAATAAAATTGTATTTTACCAAATACTGTTTTATTTACCTTCTTGGATTTGCAATTGGTTCGAACCCATTTAAATTGTTCTAAATTAATTTGAAAGCTAGTTAGACTTCATTGCAAAATCTTCAATAAAAAAAATGACTCTCAAACAACACATCAATCAAAAATATATTTTTTATCCCTTTTCTTATCTTCACATAGCAACTTGTCGGTTCAATAGAGTTTCATCAGTTTAGTCAAATGTTTCAATTGAAATATGTTTGAATTTGAGTAAAATGATTTTTGTTAATGAACCCTCATATGTTGAAAGGTGGTTGTTTTGTATTTATTCCATATATATGCAGAGTTAACTGTTAGAACTTGATTTGGGCTTGTTTACAGAATAATACATGACAGTGTAAAAGTTATTTGTCACAACCACATTTAATTGCACATCAGGTTTTTGAGACTAAACTTTCAAAAAAAGAATAGGAAAATCTGAAAACCCTTACTTGCATTCGAGGCGTATTCCCCAATAAACCGTCTGGTCAAGAACCGCACAAGGACAGCTGGAAGTAACAGAACAAGAAATAACATCAACATCAATCACATAATAATTACACTCTCATCCTTCACAGGTGGCAGGAGTGTTAAAAAATAGACCTTCATTTATCTGAACAGAAACAACACAGAGTGCCAACAGTCTCTGGGGCTGGAGAAACATGGCTTTGCTGGAATGTTCATAGGTATATTTGGCAAAATGAAAGGATGTATTCACAAACAATCTCTGTTTGTTTCTGCATTGAGAGCTTCTCAGAAAAACGACTGATTGGACTCGTTCTAGTCCCACAGACAATAGGTTTTAGTTATGGGCTGAGGTCCAAGAGCAGAACTTTAATGAAGGTGGGCCTCAACAGGGGTCAGCCAGAGAATACACGCTGGCCACACACACCCATGTGAACTCTGTAAGTACATTAGGTTAATCATGGATGCATTGTAGAAGACCAAAGACTTCCAGCTCATTGTACTCTAACTTCAGAAATTCGTGTTGCCATCAATGCAAAAAGCGATGCAAGATGTGCTGTGAAAGCAACAAGCAGAGCATAAATCATAATAAATGGACGCAAGAATGCAAGAGCAATCTCCAGAGGCTGCAGACCTTCCGTAGCTGCGGCTCCACCACTCTGCCAGGCACTGAGATGTAGATGCATGGAGCCAATCAGTCTTTTCTACCACTGAGACTGAAAACTGATATCTACCACAAACCCCCCACTGGTGTCAGGAAAACTTCACCACCCACTCATTTTGATTTGCAACAGCAGCTAAAACAAAGGAAAAAACAATCTGTAACGCCACCTAGAAATGCAATGTAAATAGACGCAGTAAGAAATGAGGAACACCAACAAGCTATTTAAAATGCCTTAAATTACAGATAGGTATAAACTTCATGTGAGCATGATTACAACGTTGTAGCACGCCGTTTTTAAAGGCGGTCTGCTTTGTTTGAATCTCAGAGATTTAGTTTGAAGTGATCTAAACTGTTGGAATGAGAGGGAACATCATGGTCCCATCAGCCATAAAATGCCCCACGCATGTTCTGCCAGGTCTGGCTATAACAGACCAAAAGATACTATCGAAAATCTCTTAAAACCACTCGATTGTCGTCTTGGCTATTCCTCTTCTGATGTGTAAATATGTGCCTGTACATTTAGAGAGAGAATAAGGTTTAATTTCCATGGTAAATGTACAAGGAGGAGAAATGTTCTTTCTAAAATGCTAGACTGAAGTTTCGGACACCAGAACCATCCAGTTCACCAACACTGTCACTATCAGGAGACAGATTGTTAAGAAAAAAAATCACTGATGAAAATTTGCTGCAATGAACACTTGAACATCTCAAAGCTAAAACTAAGCAGTGAGACAAGCTCTCTCCTGACCAATAAATGAGGCTCGTAGGTGGAAGAAGTGGGATTCTAAACTCAATCAAGAGGATTGTGTACATCGAGTCTTACTTTTTGGATTTCCTGATAAAAATGGGAACTTGAAAGAAAATATTTATGGCATTCTCACTTTTGCTGCAAGGAAAAATATCTTGATGCAATAGACTAGAACAAGAGAAGCTTGTGTTAACGGCTAGCAAAGGGCACTGCAGAGCTTTGTACCGTTATATCTGAAATGTGGGGATTTCACTCTAAAACAGACTTTTCCTCGAGGTTTGGGAATCATGCTAGGACTATATTAAAAACCCAGAATCTCAGCCATTATACTTTAGGAATTTGTTTCACTTTATTTTCTTGTTTTTTCTACCTTTTATACTCCTGTGTTTTGCTCGATACTCTGAGTCTGAGCTGTTATTTAATTCAGTTGTGCTCTGCAGTTTTAAAAATCTAATCAAAAAATAAATAAATATTAGGAAAAATAACACAAACTATTAAGGGACAGCTTGGCCAAACCTCCTTCTCAGTTAGAAAACAACTTTTTGTTGATATGGAAAATATTATGATAAATATATATTGATATAAATAAACCTTTTTTAAAGAATGTAATTGTCATGATTCTGGACGTTTTGGTTCTGTTTAAGTTTTCACTTTGATTCATCTCTTTCTGTTTTTTCTAGGTCATTGGATTCATTTCCATTTTGTGTTATTCTAGTTGTTTTCTGGTTGTATTTTGGTTCCTATGTATTTCTTGTTTACTCTGTTGCCCCCTTGTATTAGTCTCCTTTCCCCTAGCGCCCTTCTAGATCATTTATACTCCTCCTCTGCTGTTACTCAGTGCTGGATTATCTTTATTCCTTCCTTAACCTATGTGTCCGATGATTAGTTATTTCTGGATTTAATCTTCTGTTGCCACCATTGGCTCTTAAATCTGCAAAAAACCATCTCAGGTCTCTGCATTTGGGTCCTCTTCAAACCTCCACCCATCCTGACACAAATTTATTTAATACGAGGTCATCTTTTTCCCAATTACTGAATTTCCTTATGCAACATAGATATTTTTTTCTGAAGAGCTTTGAATTCAAATGGGAAAATAAATTGGGTGCCTCCAGATAATGACAGAACAAAACTATTAGCCTCACGGATACTAACAGGCTGACGGAGCATCAAACAGATTAAGGGATTCTATGTGATGAACTCTGCAGATACAAACTAAAGGTGGGAAAGTTAGTTACAGTACTCAGTAACTATATTTACTTAAATACCTTATTTTGACAAAACTAGACTTTTGAGGAGAAGTTTCATTGTAACATATTATTTTACTTTTACTTGATGTCAAAATATAGTTTCTCTTATTTGTGTCCAATTTTTGGCTACTCTATCCATTGTAAGTAATGTTATTAAAAAAAACAACCTTGTTTTAAAAAAAGTTTTCCAAACAATGAGACACAGTTAATGTTTATGTCACCTTTTTTATGCACACACTTAATTGAACCCACCATGACATTTTGTCATCAAGTAAAACATAGGAAGCAAATATGGCCATTGAAGGTGCTGATTTAATGGGTTTTATGTTAAAAACAAAGTTATTTTGGAAAAGTGTTGTTTCATCTGCCTGGATTTTTTTTTGTATTGCAGTATTTGTGCTTACCAGAATTTTCTCATAACTTTACATTTGGGTTTATTGTATTACCTAACTTTAAATATCAGATGTTATGATGAGTTACTCCTTACCTGAGTTGTCTTTTTACCAAATACTTTCTTTCTCTTGGGTAAAAATATGATGTGTTACTCTTACTTAAGGACAATGTTTGGATACTCTACCCACCTCTAGTACTAACCGGGTATTCGCTCCAGATTGCCTCTAAAAATGTAGCATCATCTGGGTTGGCAAACTCCCAAACTAGCCAAAACATTTATTTTGAAGCTTATACTTTAATACCTTGTGGTCCTTTCTTTAAAACAGTGGAAAAGTGCATTTGGGTCATATTGTCAGTTCTGTGCGACTAAAACAGATATCTGCTTGGCTCCTTTTCTCTCCTCTGGCTAAATGTGTGTCCAAAAAACTGATTCTAAAATCCTTTATTTGGCTTCTAAGTATCTCAGGATTAGTGAGGATGAAGCCTTTTCAGTCATAACACAAAGAATAGAACATGAAGCCCAAATATTTCTTAAGCTGACTATTTTCTTTTGTGTGTGTTTTTTTTTTAGTTTTCATGTGATAATATCACATGAAAACTCTGTGTGATAATGAAGAACACAAACAGTGTGATAACTACAGAGCATGATAGTTTTATGAACTACCGGTACAATGAAACAAAAATAATTACAATGATTGATAATATAAGTAAAATAATGAAAAGAAACATCTAAAATAAATCTTCATGCACAAAGTTAGCTTTTTGAAATGGATCATTGAAATAACTAATTTTGTTAATGAGGTCTAATTTAGCAGAAAGTAGCTGTGAATACCATCGTTAGGCAGAGGCAGATGGTTGCGTTTACTCAGTTACATTTACTTTAGTAACTTCTGGGAGTATTTCTCTATGTTGTATTTTCAACTTTTACATGAGTAAAAAATATTAATTATCGCTGCTCTTACTTGACTAAAACTGTGCTTCTCTCCCCATCTTGAGTTAATTACTCAATAAATAACAGATTAGACTTTGTTTTTGTAATCAAGCTTCATTGGTTTCATGCTCTTTTCTGACAGATCCCGCTGTTTCATTTGAAGATAAAGTGAAAATACAATAAAGGTAAAATATTGTCAGTATTGATCATTTTTAAATGAAATAAATATCTATTATTAGCAGGATTAAAAGATGAAAGAAAAAGAATCTTCTTACCACAAAACATGTTTTTAGTCTCTCTTACTAAATAACTGTGATATTATTCAATTATCTTAAAACTCTCTGATAAATTATTCAAATTATTCAAAATTATATATTAAAACTTCTATTGATTAAATTGGTTGAACACATTCTTTAAAAAAAAAGAAAAGATACTCATCTTCTTTCTTCAAAATCTTATTTTCCTTAAAGTTTTTAACGGCCCATTTAAAGCCAGATCTTTGTGCTAAAATTATGAATAAAAAAAAAAAAAACTTTACTGTCTGCCAGATCCACAAAAAAATATGTTCAGAAAAACTATGTATTTCATTAAAAAAATTATATTTGTATATTTCTTTTCATAAATAATGTGGTTTCTGATTAAATCTCATTTTAAATTCCATTTGTTTGCTCAAGCTGATTAGTTTTGCTCAAAGGTCTAAATTAAATATTTCAATGTCTTGTGAAGATGAGACAGTATGTTGATTCTGACTATAATAATGAGCATTACAATAAAATAATGAATCAATAATTAGCTGAAGAAAGACAGCAAATGAACTCTGAGCCTAACAGTAGGAACAAAGTTTCTGAACAAAGTGCTGTTGGCGGTTTTTATGTATAATTTATTCAAGTGGGTCAGTTAGAACAAATAGTCACCATAAAAGTATCTTTTTTATTTTTCCGCCTTAGGATTAAATTAGAGAAGAATCCGGTTTGACAGGTTTGAAACACAGAAATCAGAAAAGTTACATTAAGTAATGAGTCATACACTGAAGCAGAAAAAAGGGGTATTCACAGTTATTTTTGGGTTTAAAGCAAGAGGAAAATTAATTCAACATATTTTCTCCTGCATGTATGAGCTGTAAAAGTTGTTTTTGTGGCTCACCGGATTTCCCAGCCCCCTGGCTTCCCAAAAGGGCCAGCTTGATGTCGTTCATGCCCTTCGTCTCGTCAGGTCCTCAGCTGATCCTCTGACTGAAGTTTTGCGTTGTCTGGTATTCAAGTTGGAGTCTGCACATTTTATACTCCTCATAGTCCAGACAGGAGGGTGAAGGTACAGAACGGCCCCTTCCCCCTCTTCTCTTCAAAGAGCTGTTTCACTTTTTAAAGCCAGAGGGAGAGGAGAGAGAGGGGGAAGCAATCCCCCCTACTCTGACTGGGCTCCAGAAGCTCTACATTATGCCTTTCTCTCTCTTTTTTTTACTGTTATCCTATAACCCCCCCTCCTCACTGTCCTTAGCTCGCTTTTCATTTCCTTCTTCCTTTCCAATACAGTACATCTCTTTGCCACATAGGGGTTACTCAAAGGCCAGGACTGACTACACCTATCTTAACGCAGTGACTGTGGCCACAGTGCCATCTGTGAAGATTTCTATCATGTAGATGATGAAGGAGCCAATTTCCTGTGAACTTTTTCCACATGTTGTCAAAAATGTTTGTTTTTTCTCACTTGGATTTAATGTGAAACATCAAAAACTGGTGCTTCATTATTGGGTGGAAATTAAAAATTTTACAAACTAAAAACTAATAAATATGCAGTCCACCTTTTTTCCTCCAATGCCCAGAAACACTGGCTGCCTTCAGGTGATTGGTAAATAGAGTCAATATATGAAGTCAGAATTCTGCCCGAAGTGCAATAAATTCTAGTATACCTGTTTTATTTAAAGCACACATGTAAAAAACTCACCATGCACGTTTTTAACGAAGCTTGCTTTTTATGCTTCTGTAGTTTCTCTCATCCTCTCCTGTCAACCTGTTTCTGTTCTTGTCAACTTTTTTCACTTTGAGGAGGAGCCAACCAGAGAAAGAAAACTGCCTGTGATTAACTACTTTCTAGGAAATCACGCCTCTTTAGAAAGTACTTTTCTTCCTGGCTGTGGCTAGTAACGTTAGCAAAGAATCTTTTGTTTTGATTTTGCAATTCAAGTCGACACTGCTTGTTTAAAGGGTTTGTTGAAAATTATGAGATACTGAAGGGCCAAAGCCAGAGATTAGTTAGACTAAACCAAACAGTTAATGCAGAGGCAGACCTGGACTGGTGTTGCAGGCAGAACCAGACAGGACCTGAGGCTGGACAGAGGACCAGGAGGGACTTGAGGCTGCACAGAGGACCAGATGGGACTAGAGGCTGCACAGAGGACCAGATGGGACTAGAGGCTGCACAGAGGACCAGATGGGACTAGAGGCTGCA